CAGGCTATACTACGTACAGAAGTTTTACTTCGCGAAGGTATTTAAAAAAATGTATACTCACTGTCATTAACAATATGGTGTAATTTAGCCTGTCTCAAGACTCAAGCACCATTTTGTTGACAAACGTCAGTGATCGGCACTGCGCCGAAGCTATAGGGCTGACTTCGGTAAAATGATGTGACGTGAGGTGCCAAACTGCGGAACATGGGCGGAGGAAATACATGATTTAGCATTAATTATCAAGAATAATATTAACTACTTATTTACCTCTCAGCGTCTTGAGGCAACTTAAAAAAGTACATTCTGTGTTTTTATTATTATTTAGGCAGTTAAATACTGCACAGTATTCAGTACACCATTTTCGTTATTTTCTTTCATCATACACAAGAATACGCGTGCGTGAGTCAATGTTCGCTCGTATGTGAGGCCTTGTCGAATAGTATCCTGTAGGTGGGCCATCGTGCGTGTTTTGTTTTCGATATAAACTCGCGGAGATGAACAGGCCTGATATAACCTAACCAGTTAAATGCAATGACGAATGCTAGCGCGCGCGGGGCTCTCAATCCGTCCGCAGTGGCGCTGATCGAATTAAATTTTCACAGCCACTGCAGCAGTTATTGCATACATTGTTTATTGTTTTCATCGTGCATCTTTTGTGTAGGTGTTTAGGTGTATTGCAGAAGGGTAATCGAATTGTATTTGTTTGTATTTTGGAAAATTAGCTAAGATAGAGTTTGACTCCTCAAAAATCAAAATCAAAATTATTTTGGAAAATTAGCTAAGATAGAGTTTGACTCCTAACCAAGTAATCAATCAAAATCTTTGTTTTGTTATACTTACTACATACACGGTCGGTACCTACCTACCCTAGGAGGTCTCCACTCATCTCCACCACAAAATAAGTCTCCACTTTCAACCATTTTAAAGACAAATACGTAGTAATCATACATCACAATCATTAACTCAGTGGTCAACTAACAGAGCTTTGTCTATCAGTTAGGGTAGATTAAGAAAGAATTCAAATGAAAATTTATTACTCACACAAATCTTACCATGTGCTAACAATTACAATTAATTTTAAAAGTGACCCGGAAAACGCACGCATGTACAAACAAATTAAAATCAAAGCTATTTTAATCCCACTAAAAGCGTGTTTTAAACAAGCTATTTTCGGTAAAACGTCGACAACACCTCGTTATTTACATCATACCCGCAGTTTGCGTGAGTCCAATTGTTCACTTAACCACTTGAACAATCGGCATGATGCCCTATTACTGAGCTAGTTAGAAGTTGTCGCTGAAATAGGAGGGCTACTCCGAAATGCTGTTTAGTAGTTTTGAGTCTATCAGCTGTCACCGGCATCTCGCTTTGTGTGAGAGGGATGGGAACATTCGAAACGTTGGACAACGTTTTTTTGGAGTACCCCCGCAGAAACGAGCGGTTTTGAATCGTTGCGTGGCGGTAATTGCTAATAAGTAGGTGGCGCCTAACTCGCGAAAGTTACCTTTTAATTTTTATTTATTTTCAATATTAATAAAAATATTGTTTATCTCCCAAGCATTATTTTCTACCATGTACCGCGTAGCCTAGCATAGTTATCATCATTTCAGCCATAGGACGTCCACTGCTGAACATAGGCCTCCCCCAATGATTCCACAATGGCCGGTTGGTGGCAGCCTGCATCCACGGTAAAAAAAATGCATTTCCTCTGTTAGCTACAGAAATGGGAAATGCGACGACTTTAAAAAAACTTTTATCTAGATCACCTTTATAAAGCCAGGTAACAGTGTAGCAAAAACAAGACGGCTAACACCGTTGTTAGTCCATAGACCATAACCTAGCACCGGTGTCACCATATCTGTCGCCAACATCCTCATTTAAGCCTGCTGTCCACAGCTACGTCCAGGCAGCGATGACAGTGACCGTGTCCCCCGAGCGGGGCCCACTCGCGGCGCAGCGCTGGGGCCCCCCGCGCCGGGTGGCCATCAAGAGGAGCCCCGGGGCCCCGTTGGGCGTCAGCATCGTTGGAGGCAAGGTAATGACAGTGACAGAAGAAAAACAGAAAGTTGAAAGACAATAATGCAGGTTTTGATTATTAGGAGTAGGGTTCGTGTATCAGAATCTGAAAGAAAAAAGTAATAAGGGATGATAGAAACATGAGGAAGATGATAAAGTGTAGTTATGATAAAGTGTCGTTAAGTATCTCGTGTAGTTAGAACTACTACCCTCACTACAAATTTCCAAAGTGTTACCCCCTTACTTATAAAAGTTACACGCTCGTTGAACAGTGTTTTATAGTGAACGTTCAGTATGGAAATACTTAACAGTATTCAACGAGCGTGTAACTTTTTATTCTTCTTCTTTTCGTGTCGACAACAAAGTCAGCCCAAAACTCCTTTATTTGGGCTGACTTTTTATTAGTAAAGGGGTTAATGATTAACAGACGATCCTCACTTTTGAAAAGGATTATGCATTTTAATGTCTTTTGTTACTTATTAATTTACAATATGGATATTTATGTCTTATAAATTTTACCTCTAGGTTGACATCATCTCAAATCGAGATGGAGAAGACGGCGAAGAGAAGGCTATCTTCGGAATCTTCATCAAGAATGTAGTTCCTGACAGCCCTGCGGGGAACTGTGGGGAATTACAGGTATTGTATAAAAAAAATAAACTTCCATGTTGCATTTTTACTACATTCTCAATATAACGGAATTTGGCAACAAACACATTTAAAAAGATAAAAACTTCATGACCCAAAAATCTTCTCATACTAGGTTGATATTATGTGAAGTCATTCAAATTAAAAATTAGGTACAAGAATTTCAATCGAGAAGATGCATTTAACCTATCATCAGCGTGGAATCCGGTGAAAAGTGCGAAGTGCAAATCGCTTTTTAGGCCGTCTCAAAGAAACCCGGACACTGTTAGTGTAGTTTTTCGGACTGACTGTACCACGGACGAAAATACTATACAAATGCGGGTGGACGAAGAAAACTCATCGCGCCCGAGCAGACGACGACGCATCTCTTCAGTCTGCTCGCGACCATGACTCGTGCAACCGAGTCGAAACGTCGGGAAGGGAACCTTTTTACCGTTTTAAAAGTGTTTGTTGTTAAATCCTGTTATA